TGTGATAAAAAAAGGAAACAAGTCTAATATACTTTAAAGGTTTGTTATAAAAGAACAAGAGATTATGTGCTTGTTTTATTATAACTAATGATAGATTCAATATCTTTTGCCAAATACAGAAATATTTTTTTTACATGTGATTGAATGCACGAGTTAAGAAAATAATAATAGAATATGAAAGGTAGAATAATTTAAATGTGGAAAATTAATAGATTTATAGTAATTACTTCATTGTTTAAGTTCACGCATTATTTCAAAAAGCTTGAATTTTGTAATAAAATTAGTGTTCAGATATATTATCCTCTGATGATAATATCACAATCGTTTTTTTCAACCAGTGAAATCAGTGTTTTCCAACGGTGACAGTATGCCGACAGATGGATAACAGATTTGTTATCATTTGGGAGTGCATGTATCTACCGCTAGAGTCTATCAACATAATTTGAAGATAGATTGGCGGCAGAAGCTGAGCAAGATTTGTTATATCTTCTATTTGCGTACAGGTTATTCTGTACAATAAAAAAATTGTATGCAGTTTGAAAGTATTTTCCCTCTCAAACCTTCTGCAGGGAATGTAAATGATGTAAGTATAATTTTTAATATTCTTTTTCTTTGTCAAAATATTAATTTTTAATTTGGCTGCGTTTCAATATTCACTGCCATATTGAAAATCTATAGTTGACGTACGTTAGAAGTTTTCGGTCTTGCCATTGTGGACTTTGCCATTCAGTGAATTTTGAAACAATCTTTATCGTTATAAAATATACATAAGTATGGATTTGCATATGTAATCTGCTTTAACATTTTTTAGATTTGCAGGTCAAGTGAGTGTTTTTCAATATGAAGTCTAAGGAGGCTAACATTAACGAAAACTTTACATCTGTGGAATTAGTCTGTTGATTTTTTAAAATGATTTAAAGCAGTGAAGCCGATGATATTTGTAAGTTTAATGGATGAGTCACGTTTTATTTTTTACAAGCAATTATCGACATGTTTATTTTATACAATAGTGATATGACCACTTTGGAATCAAGATATAAATTTTACAATTTTTAAAATCAATACATAGTTAATCATAGCCCAAAGAAACGTAAAATTACTTATTTTTTATTTCAATGTTAAATAAATTAATTTTTTTTCTAACTTATAAACAGATGAAGGTATAAAGAATAAGATAATTAATTACAGAAATATTTTCACACACATGAATAACCTTATTTTTTTAATCACATAGAAGCATATGCTAATATATAAGGTCTGTTCTTTATAGCTGAACTGGCTGCACTAGTTTAGAGTTTATCTTTTTTTTTCCAATGTGGAGGGAAAAAGATAAACTCTGAATTAATACAGCCAGTTCAGCTATAAAGGACAGACCTATTATATGTAGATGTAAAATACATATTCTATACGAGAGTTTTAAAGACATTATTTAATCAATTAAGCTTTCTTTCTACAAAGATTTATTTATGATGTAATCATGTATTTCTTGTATTAGAGGCATATAAAGATGTTTCTAAAAATTTTGTAATTTTTACATTTTCTCATCATGACTTGGTCTTATCTTCTTTTGATGATAAGGCTTCTAATTCAATTCATAGATCTCAGCAACCACTGTAGTATCGAGCTATTTGGTCCAAGTGTTGTTAAGTAGTGTTAAAAGCACAATTACAAAAACGCAATTACACTTCTGTCATATTCAGGTATGATATATTTATCATATTTATGTGCTTGATTATTAAAATAATAAATTTGCAAACAGACATCTATCGTCACATTATGAATCGTAAATTCATGCATGCATGAATATGTAATAGATTAAATAGAATAGATTAGATAACATGCTTTTAGAAGCTTTTCTAGTATTAACAAGTGTGTTATTCATAAATATGTGAAATTATCTAACTAATTGCATTAAGAAACTTTATTTCACAATTAAGATATATATATTATACAAATTAAAAATATACATGTTAAGTCTTTAATAAAAGATAATTTAATATCTCGATAATACATAGACCTAAATGTCACACATGAGCACTTGATTTTAATTTGGTTATTGTTTACAGGCTGAACCGTTGTCGCAACATCTTTTTGCTTTAGAACCTAAAAGATGGCGACTTTTTAGAATAAGTCTGACGCCTATTTTTACATCTAATAAACTAAAAGAGATGTTCTTATTAATATCATAGTGCGCCGATAATCTTGAGCAATATGTAGAGAATATGGTAAACAGAAAGGAACCCATAAATTGCCATGATCTGATGGCTAAGTATGCGACTGATGTTATTGGTACTTGTGCCTTTGGCATCGATATGAATGCTATATCGAACGAAGATAGCGAATTTCGCGTTATGGGAAAAAAAATTTGCTCTAAATTGGAAGGATTTTATACGATCTAGATTTAGAGCATTCCTGCCAAAGTTTTACAATATGCTTGGTCACGTTCTGCCGCAAAGGGAAATTACTAAATTTTTCATACGCATTGTCGTAGAAACTATAAATTATAGGGAAAAGAATAATATCGTTAAACATGATTTTATCGACGCGCTGCGCGAATTGAGAAAGCATCCGGAGAAACTAGGTGATATTAGTAAGTATCGTAAGTTCTATATTTTCTATTATAGGATTTTTTTGAATTATATAAATTTGTGCATATAATTAATTGTAGAAATCCCAATAGTGTTATATTTTGCATTGAAATAAACGATAATTTAAATATTAACTGTTAAATAATCAAATAATTTGCAAATTACAATAGTCACTACAAAATTATAACATTTATAATACAGAAGTATATCGCTTTTCAGAGCTAACTGATGGCTTGTCAAGCCTATGTATTTTTTATCGCCGGCTTTGAAACTTCATCGACAGCTATGAGTCACACATTGTATGAATTAGCATCAAATCAACAAGTGCAAGACAAATTATGCGAAGAAATTAATGAGGAATATGTAAAACATGGCAACAATGTAATATATGATAACATTAAGAGAATGAATTACTTGGATAAAGTTTTTAAAGGTACGTTATGCGTCGGTAAAAGTAAATAAAAGAAATATTTATTTTTATCGACGTGTTAATATAATCTCTCTCTCTCTCTCTCTCTCTCTTTTTATCAATAAGTTTGAAAATTATTATAATTTTTTTAACATATATATATTTCCACATGATTTATTTATTGTTGTTCTTAATATATGTAGAAACTTTACGAAAATATCCTCCGGTAACATTTCTTATGAGACAGTCGATATCGAGTTATACATTTGATGGTACCAAAATTTCTATACTAAAAGACCAGAGTGTATGGATTCCGGCTATTGCAATTCATAACGATCCAGATATTTATCCAGAGCCGGATGTTTTCGGCCCAGAAAGATTTAGCGAAGACGAAACGAGGAATCCGATGTTTTACCTACCTTTTGGCGACGGCCCGAGGAATTGCATCGGTAGATTGAAATAAATCTCTTAAAGTCTATCTACAAATTCTTTTCGGATATTAATGGAAAAAATTTTTTAAATCAAATAATTAGATATTTTTTATGCAATTTATTTTTTAGGTATCCGATTTGCTAATTTTCAAACTAAAGTGACTTATAAAGCTGCTACGAAATTATAAATTTGAAACGTGTGAGAAAACACAAATATCTTATAAAAATAGCTCTAAGCATCCGTTTTTGTTAGCACCAAAAAATGGAATACATTTAAAGGTAACTAAAATTGAACGAGTTTAAATTCTTCTGTAAGTCTTTCTAAAAAATTGTGTAAGGTGGAGGAAACATCTTTTAATTAGAACATTATGACGTTTTTAAAAAAATGTTTAAATATTTGTGACGGAAATATCTGTTTAATTCCAACAATATGACTTTAAAAACTTATACATTTGTAATATTCTTCCAATTAAAATTTGTTGAAAAAATATTCATTCCACATTTATCAAAGTATTGGAAAAGAAAGTGTCTGCTATTTATCTAAAGTGACTTCATCCTTTTTATTTTTTTAGCAAAATCTATTTTTCTGAATTAAAATTAATTTGCAATAATTTTTTCACATCATTATTCAGGTGTAAATAATTGATTACGGCCGATAGAAATGCAAAATTTTTTTTCAACATATTAAATTTAATATATTTATAATTTATACAAGCAGATAAAACTAAATCGTATTAAGCAAAAGTGACTCTTCAATTTTGAAAACATCATCATGAATAAGTTTGTACCGCGCATGCTTATGTATATTCTCGTTCACATCTTCGTACAGTATAGCACTGCCTATTATTTAATCCAGCTATTCAGCGTTATTACAGCAAGTAGTGTTACTTCTGATGGAGCCCAGGCAGGTTGCATAAGAGTAGCAGTATAAGCTGCGTCGCAAATTTGATTAAGGTCCTGCATATTAGATTTTATCCTAATCAGGTATGTTGCATTCATCATATTTATTATGCTCGAATAATAAAATAATAATTTTATAAGTAGGAAAGTCGTTGACTATTTTACAATTAAATTATTAAAATCTTTGCTTTGAAAATGTATTAATTACGTTAGATGACTGCATGCCTTTAAATAATTGTGTAACATTGATAAGTATTATACGAAAATTATTATAAAACAACAAATGTTATTAGATTTAACAAAAAATGTATTCCGTTAAAGTGCGATATATATGTTTGTAATTGATTGTGAGTTGTGAGTTTATACTTCTATTGGCACTTCACTATTACACATCAAGGACATCTCGCACGCAACAGAGTTGCAACGTTTTCTTCACAATTTGTTTGTATTCTAATATCGTAAGCAATTTGCATCTAAATATTAAGATTACGTCAATCTCGCCAATTAACGTTGAATGCGTATGAATTTTTTTTTTAAATTACAAATGAGCAAAAATTGCATAATCAGTTTTATCAGCAGATAACAAGTCATATGATAGTTCGTCAAATATTCTAAATAATTTTTTAAAATAGTATTACACGCGCGCGTGTTAAACATTAAATGAAGGATAATTTAATATCATGATACACTTAACCGCCATATATGAGCTGTAGTTTTCGTCCGAAATTTATTTTATAAAATTATCCAACATTTTAGTTTTTCAATATAAAGATATTTACATGTAAATATGTTTTTTTCTTTCAGGAAAAATCAGTAATAATTAATTGACAACGGTAGGACAATGGGACTTTTTGAAATACTGTGCGGCATTGGAGTCGTACTTATTGCTCTTTATTATTATTTTACATCAACCTTCGATTTCTGGAATGCACACGGCGTTCGTGGTCCGCGACCACTACCAGTATTTGGTAACATTAAGGATGTTATGCTCGGAAATAAAGCTCTGGGTTTTTATTTGAAGGATTTATATGACGAGTACAAAAATGAGTCCATTGTTGGGATATTTCTTCGGAGAACACCTGTTCTTGTCGTAAAAGATCCAGATTTAATTAAAGATATTCTTATTAAAGATTTCTCCAAGTTTGCTGATAGAGGCGGCCTAGCTGTTCATGAAAGGGTACATATGCTTTGAACTATTTTATAATATTTAAAATATAAACAATATCATTTTTCGAAAACTCTTACATTCTTTTTTTACTTTTGAGTGATAAGAATTAGAAAAAATAGCGAAATCTGTTTTAAAAACTTTCTTTTGTGTATTTCTATAAAATATAGATATTAAATTAATAAATTTATTTATTCGATTATAAGTTTATCTTGTGTTTACAGACTGATCCGCTGTCGCAACATCTTTTTGCTTTAGAATCTAAGAGATGGCGACCTTTAAGAACGAGTATGTCGCCTGTTTTTACATCTGGTAAACTGAAGGAAATGTTCTTCTTAATAACAGAGTGCGCCAGTCATCTTGAACAATATTTAGAGAAATTGGTAAGCAAAAATGAGCCAATAGAATGCCGCGAACTAATGGCCAAATATACGACTGATGTCATTGGTACTTGTGCTTTCGGTATCGAAATGAATGCTATATCGAATGAAGATAGTGAATTTCGCAAAATGGGAAGAAAAATATTTGCGGCATCTTGGTCAAATTACATACGATTCAGACTGGCAAATTATACGCCAAAGTTGTATGATCTTCTCGGTTATGTACTCCCGCAAAGGGAAGTAACCACATTCTTCATACGCGTTGTCACGGAAACCTTGGATTACAGGGAAAAGAATAATGTCGTTAGACATGACTTCGTTGACGTGCTGCGTGAATTGAAAAAGCATCCGGAGAAACTAGGCGATATCAGTAAGTAGCATAGTGCATGTTTTATATTTTATATTATAAAGTTATTTAATTATATATTAACTGTTAAATATGATTAAATAATTTGCAAATTATAAGTGCGATAAAATATTTTTAGTAAATAAATGTATAATTATTTTGTTTCAGAGTTGACTGACAATTTGATAGCTGCTCAAGCATTTGTATTTTTTCTTGCCGGCTTTGAAACCTCATCGACAGCGACAAGTCAGGCGCTTTATGAATTAGCATTAAATCAGGAAATACAAGATAAGTTACGCGAGGAAATTGATGAAGAGTATACAAAACATGGCAGTAATTTAATATATGATAATGTTAAAAATATGAATTACTTGGATAAAGTTTTCAAAGGTACGTTATGCGTCGAAAAAATTAAATAAAAGAAATATTTATTTTTATCGACGTGTTAATATAATCTCTCTCTCTCTCTCTTTTTATCAATAAGTTTGAAAATCATCATAATTTTTTCAACATATATATATATTTTCACATGATTCATTTATTGTTGTTAATATATGCAGAAACTTTACGAAAATATCCCCCGGTCTTATATCTTATGAGAAAATCGACATCGAGTTATACGTTTGAAGATACCAAAGTTTCTGTACCAAAGGGCCAAAACGTATTTATCCCAGTCCTTGCAATTCATCGCGACCCAGATATTTATCCAGAGCCAGAGGTTTTCGACCCAGAACGATTTAGCGAGGAAGTTGCAAAAAGTAGGAATCCAATATTTTATCTACCTTTTGGCGACGGCCCGAGGAATTGCATTGGTATGTTGAAATGACTCTTAAACATTTAGTTTAAATGTTCATTTATAATTTCTATTTGCGTATCAGTGTGAAAGTTTTTAATTAAATAAGAAGATAATTGGTTATTTTTTATACAATAATTGGTTTTTATTTTTAGGTGCTCGATTTGCTGTTCATCAAAGTAAAGTTGGTCTCATAAAAATACTACGTAATTACAAAGTTGAACCTTGTGAGAAAACGCAAATACCTTATATAAGTAGTGCTGTACATCAATTCTTATTAGCACCAAAAGATGGAATATACTTAAAAATTACTAAAATCAAACGAGGTTAGTATAAATTCGTTTGTAAGTCTCGTCAACAATGTATTGTACATTGCCAGTATAAAGCGATAAAAGAAATATCTGTTAATTGTAACAATATGACGTTATCAAGTGTAAGATATTTTAATTAACAAAATTATGTTATATATATCTATGATTTTTGAGTAATAGATATAATTTTTATTTGTGAAAAACTAGATCTTTAAACCAGATTGATTTTTAGGTATGTAAACAAAATAATTAATAGAACAAATTTTTTTCTAGATTAGTAAGTTTAAATATTACATTTAATTATATGTATCAGTGTTGTATAAATATTTTTGAAGAATAAAGTAATGTATTTTATTTTTTTATGAATAATATTATAAATTTAATTATACCCGATTTTTATAAAAGATTATTTGTAATGGTTTGAAATTATTTTAAATTACACTAATTTTATACTTTGTTTCATAGAAAACAATAGATATTTTATTGCAATCGACATTATTCAATTTTTTATGGCTTATGGTATTTCTTATGATAAGAGAAAATGAAAATAAATATATACGCAGTTACCCTATGAATATTATCCTAAGACATTCATATTAGCATCAAAAGATGGAATACATTTGAAGATAACTAAAATTGAACGACTTAAGAATTTAAATTCTTTTACAATGTACGTTCCATAAAATACAAGTAAAAAGAGATGAAGGAAATTCTTGTTAATTAAAACACACTGTTCCTATAATGTTTAAGGATCAAGAAAAGGAAATTATCTATTCAGCTCTAAATTTCTTTTTGTATCAGCCAATTATAAATAATAAATTATAGCCGAAAGAAATGAAAAGTTAGTTATTTTTTATTTTATTTTATTTTATTTCATTAATTAAATTATTATTAATATTTATATATTTTACTATCAAACAAAAATAAACTAAAAAGTTGACAAAAATGACATATATTGGTATCTATGCATAAAATAATTCATATGAGAGTACAAGAGATGTTATCTAATCAATCAATTTTTCTTATTAGATTATTTGCTTCGTCATGCATCGCATCTAAGATACACAGAAAAGTGTTTCCCGAAAATGCAACTGTCGCAATTCATGCTCGTGACTCGTGATTTGTTCGCATCTCTGATGGTGGGATGCCTATAACTTAATGCAGCCTGCATTGAAGCAGCCAGTACTATCTCTGGTAGGTTAGTGCGTAGAAACGTGGACTGAGCAATGCTACAAGAGTAATTACTTGTCACATTCTTGACGTATTCAGGTACCTCACATCCGTCATATTTATATATTTGAATAATAAAATAATAACTTTACAAATAGGAGAGATTATATTACATCTATCTCACACTTAGGTAATAAAACTCATGCTTTAAATATGTAGAATACATTAAATAACAACACATCTTTTTAAAAAATGTTACATTAATGAGTGGGAATCATAATAATACAAAGAAATATTAATTAAAGTGAAGGAAGAAATGTACGTTTATATTTTGTGAAAGTGCGATTTTTGTGTTTGCCGTTGATTGCCAGTGCCGTTACTCTACTTCCATTCTATCCCCACTTTAATGCTTCACAAATCAAGGACATCTTACGAGATAGAGTACATTGATACATTTGTTTATTTATTTTTATTCCAACGCTACAGAAACATATTATTTTGATATTAAGATTGTATTATTGTTAATTATCGTTAAATGTTCGTTAAATGTTCGTAAATTTTTTATTTATAATATAACTGAACACAAGCAAAATAATTAACATAACAAACGTATTACATACATAAAATTATTCAACTGAATTTATTATGAAGCTCTCTTGTATAATGATGTTATCATATACATGTTAATTAAATTCTAAATAAAAGATGATTTATCATGATGGCACATAAAGCTAAATGCATTATACACGAGCAATAGCTCTTATAAACTTATATTTTATTCAAAATATATTTTATTTGAACTATATAAAGTTTCTTAAAATTCTCTTCTTAATTTGTCAGATAAATATTTATATTTGACGAAATACTGTTTTTTGTTTTAGCAATAATCGATTGTTATAATCGATCGGAAATTGAACCGACAATGGAGTCTTTTGAAATACTGTGCGGCATTGCACTCGTACTCATTGCTCTTTATTATTATTTTACATCAACCTACGATTTTTGGAACTCACGCGGCGTTCGCGGTCCACAACCGATACCATTATTTGGTAATGCTAAGGATGTTCTACTAGGAAAGAAAGGCATGGGTCATTACTTAATGGAAGTATACAACGAATACAAAAATGAGTCTATGATTGGAATATTCCTCAGAAAGACGCCCATTCTTATCGTAAAAGATCCAGAATTGATTAAAGATGTGCTTATTAAAGATTTCTCCAAGTTCGCCGACAGAGGCTTCACCGTTCATGAAAAGGTGCGAATGCTTGGAAATATTTTATATCCAAAATATAAATCATATAATCTTTTAAAAATTTTTATATACTTTTTACCTTTTTGAATGATAAGAATTAATAAATTAGAGATGTTAGTTTAAAACTCTTTCAGTTGTATGATTTTATAAAAAATGATTTTTAAATTAATAAATTTACTTGATAAGTTTGTCTTGTTTACAGGCTGACCCGCTGTCTCAACATCTTTTTAGTTTAGAACCTAAGAGATGGCGACCTTTAAGAACGAATCTGTCGCCTGTTTTTACATCTGGGAAATTAAAGGAGATGTTCTCTTTAATATCAGAATGTGCCGACCATCTTGAGAAATATATTGAAAAATTGGCAAACAAAAAAGAGCCTGTAGAGTGCCGGGAACTGACAGCGAAATATACGACCGATGTTATTGGAACCTGTGCATTTGGTATTGAAATGAATGCTATGTCGAACGAAGACAGCGAATTTCGCAAGATGGGACGAGAAGCTTTTGCTCCAACTTGGAAGAATATACTACGAATGAGAATTAGAACATCTATGCCATGGCTTTACGATATTTTTGGATATATTCTACCGCAAAATAAAGTGACAAAATTTTTCATACACGTTATCGTAGAGACTTTGAATTACAGAGAAAAGAATAATATCGTTAGACATGACTTCGTCGATATGCTGCGCGAATTAAAAAAAAGCCCAGAGAAACTAGGCGATATTGGTAAAGTATTACTTATTTTATATTTTCTATTGTACAATTTTTTAATTATATGAGTTTTGCTTATGCGATATAACTCTAAAAATCACAATAGAATTAAATTTTGTTTAGATATTATAATTCCGATCATTTCATTATATATAAATCGTGTCAAATGATTGGATAATTTGTAATTGTTAATAGAGTACATCAAGAAAATAATTCATAATAAAAACAAATTGTTATCTTGCAGACTTGACCGATAGCTTGATAGCATCTCAAGCATTTGTATTCTTTCTTGCCGGCTTTGAAACCTCATCGACAACTATGAGTCATGCATTATACGAATTAGCATTGAATCAACATATACAAGACAAGTTACGCGAGGAAATTAATCAGGAGTATGCAAAGCATGGCAGTAAATTGTTATATGATGACATAAAGAAAATGAATTATTTGGACAAAGTTTTCAAAGGTACGTTCGATGGAAAATTAAATAAAAATAGAAAACATATTGTTTATTTTAATCAACATATCAATATAATCTTATTGCCAATAAATATTTTAATTAATATAATTATATTTCTCCATATTATGCATCTTTCATCGTTTTTAATATATGTAGAAACTTTACGAAAATATCCACCGGGAACGTTTCTTATGAGAAATTCGACAACAAGTTATACGTTTGATGGTACCAAAGTTTCTCTGCCAAAAAACCAAAGGGTATGGATTCCTACTTATGCGATTCAACACGATCCAAGCATTTATCCAGAGCCAGATGTTTTCGATCCAGAAAGATTTACTGAGGAAGCTGTGCAATCTAGGAACGCAATGTTTTATCTACCTTTCGGCGATGGCCCGAGAAATTGCATTGGTATGTTGAAATGCATCTTTTAAAAATTTATTAATGTTCGCAATATCATTAGCAAAAATTTTTAATCCTAGAGTTAGCTATGTTTTATGAAATAATTGTTTTTTATTTTTAGGTGCCCGGTTTGCTATCTATCAGTCTAAAGTTGGACTTATAAGAATACTGCACAACTACAGAGTCGAAACTTGTGAAAAGACACAAATACCTTACCAATATGATCCTAAAGCGTTTGTATTAGCACCAATAGGTGGAATACATTTGAAGATAACTAAAATTGAATAAATTTAAATTTTTCTGCAAGTTTTCCTAAAATATGTGTAAAAGAGATGGAGGAAATATCTATTAATTAGAATATTATGGCGTTCCTAAAGAATTTAATTCAGCTCGGAACATATTTATCAGGTATTTGGGAAGACAGTATATTTATTTCTTATTTCATTATGCTTAGAGATCAATTATGATCAATCTTTTATAAACTTTTATATAAAACTTTTATATACAGTTATATAAAAGCGACATTACGTTGTTTTACCAAGAAAGGCAAGGCATGAAAAATTATAGAAAAAGTTTATTTTGTTGAATGACAATATCTTGTGTCTATCATCGACAATGACAGACACGTGGAAAAATATATATCATTGTCGATGACAGACACAATCGACATCATTTTTTTTATCGACAATGACACACAAATATTGCCATTCAACAAAATAATCGTTAACTCTCATAATTTTTCAAAAGATATATATTCTATGGTTATGTCTGTTTTAATTACAAAGATTATAATTCTTAATGGACTGGCATATTAAAGGTGATAATTAAATATTATTAATAAATTATTGTAGTTATTGTTGTAAAATGTTGTGAATTCTTTCTTTCTCTATATATATTTTTCCACGATAATCAGGAAGGAAAGCCTAGTTATTGCAACGGCTTTATTTTTTTCCTTATTCTTCAAGTAAACTCTCTTTTTATAAATTAATTCATAATTATATTTTTTACATTATTATCCAGATATAAATAAATAATTGTAACAGAAAGGAATGTAAAGTTAATGATTTTTTATTTTAACATATTAATTTTAAATAAATTATTATTATTTATAAATCTTACAACTACATGAAAATAAATTAAAACAAGTTGAACCAAGTTAATCAAAAACAACTGTTTAACTATGGAAATGTAATTTCCCAAATAAACATCGCGAACTGCATAGTAACAGCTACTGGTATATAAATATCTATATCTATGCGTGATCTAATTTAGATAAGAATTTAAATAAAAATCTAGATAAGATATAGGAAGCGATATCTAATCAATTTTTTTTATATTACTAAATTGTTTAATTATGATTCTAATAAATGCAAGAAGTGAAGAAACGCAGATACCACGACTTCCACAATTCATCGTGACTCATGTATTTATTCACATCTACAACGATGCTTGCAATTTAACCCAGCTGCCAGCTGGAGTGGCCAGTATTATCTCTGATAGCGTCCGTGTAGGTTGATAGAAGCGTCAATAAGCACCGTTGCGACGCAATTACTGATCACTTTCCTATTGTATTTAGGTACGTTACATCAGTGATATTTTTACGCGAATTTAGATAAAATAGTGATTTTAAACATAGAAAAAAGCATTTGATATATCTGTTTTACAGTTATATTATAAAAATCATGGTTTAAATATATAGAATAGATTAAATATTGAGACATGCTTTTAAAAAATTTTGTCACATTGTTCATTAACTGCTTATGTAATTTTTGTTCTGTATATTCTAATTGAGCACAGTAATTGACATAAAACATAGGCGCATTGATATATGCAAGATCATCTAATTTAATTCATTATGAAGGTTTATCATTAATTTTAAGTAAAAGATAATTTAATATCAAGATAGAATAAACCTAAACATCCATATACGTATGAGTAATGATTCTTAAAATTCTATTTCATTCAAAATATATCTTCTTTGAATATTGTCCAGCTTCTTAGTTTTTATTTATATTTAACGGAATTTTTTTTTAGGTAAAAATTAATTGTAATAATTGATCAACAACTGACGAATAATGGATCCTTTCGAAATACTGTGCGGCATTGCAGTCGCACTCATTGCTCTTTATTATTATTTTACATCATCCTATGATTTTTGGAATTCACGCGGCGTTCGTGGACCACAACCGTCAATACCATTTGGTAATGTTAAAGATGTTATGCTTACAAAGAAGGCCATGGGACATTACTTAAAGGAAGTATACAACGAATACAAAAATGAGTCTGTGATTGGGATATTTCTTAGGAAGACGCCCGTTCTTGTCGTAAAAGATCCAGAATTGATAAAAGATGTGCTTATCAAAGATTTCTCCACATTTGCTGATAGAGGCTTCACCATTCATGAAAGGGTACGAACGCTTTGAAATATTTCATAATATTTAAAACACAAATCGTATAATCTTTCGAAAATTTTCGGACAGTTTTTCTTTTTCAAGTGATAAGAATTAGTGAAAATAGAGATTTGTTTAAAAAACTGTGTATTGTTGTACAATTTTATAAAAAATGGTTTTTAAATTAATAAATTGATTTGATAAGTTTATCTTGTTTACAGGCCGAGCCGCTGTCGCAACATCTTTTTGGTTTAGAACCTAAAAGATGGCGACCTTTAAGAACGAATCTGTCGCCTGTTTTTACATCTGGGAAATTAAAGGAGATGTTCTCTTTAATATCAGAATGTGCCGACCATCTTGAGAAATATATTAAAAAATTGGCAAACAAAAAAGAGCCTGTAGAGTGCCGGGAACTGACAGCAAAATATACGACCGATGTTATTGGAACCTGTGCATTTGGTATTGAAATGAATGCTATGTCGAACGAAGACAGCGAATTTCGCAAGATGGGACGAGAAGCTTTTGCTCCAACTTGGAAGAATATACTACGAATGAGAATTAGAACATCTATGCCATGGCTTTACGATATTCTTGGATATATTCTACCGCACACTGAAGTGACCAAATTTTTCATACGTGTTATCGTAGAGACCTTGGATTATAGAGAAAGGAATAATATCGTTAGACATGATTTCGTCGATATGCTGCGCGAATTAAAAAAACACCCGGAGAAACTAGGCGATATTGGTAAAGTACTACTTATTCTATATTTTCTATTGTACAATTTTTTTTAATTAACGAGTTTGTTTGTGCTTTATGTTTGTTTGATATAACTTTAAATCACAAAAGAATTAAATTTTATTTTGATATTATGATTCCGATTATTTTATTATGTATAAATCGTGTTAAATGATTAAATAATTTGTAATCTCTAATAGAGTACATAAAGGAAAATAATAAAAATAAGTTGTCATATCTTACAGATTTGACCGATAGCTTGATAGCATCTCAAGCATTCGTATTCTTCCTTGCCGGTTTTGAAACCTCTTCAACAACTATGAGTCACGCACTATACGAGTTAGCTATTAATCAGCAAATACAAGACAAATTACGTGAAGAAATTGAGCAAGAATATGCAAGTCACGGCAGCAACTTAACGTATGATAACGTTAAAAAAATGAGTTATTTGGATAAAGTTTTCAAAGGTATGTTAGTTAAAGAAAAATTTTTAAAACTTTAAAATTTCTTGTTTTTTATCGTCTTGTTAATATCTTTTAATTAAGAAGCTGGAAAATAATCCTAGTTTTATATATTTCAATATTATGACTTTTTAATAATTATTTATAATATATGCAGAAACTTTACGAAAATATCCCCCGGTAACATTTCTTTTGAGGAAATCGTTATCAGATTATACTTTTGATGGTACCAAAGTCTCTATACCAAAAAATCAAAGCGTATGGATTCCGGTTTATGCAATTCATCACGATCCAAGCATTTATCCAGAGCCAGATGTTTTCGATCCAGAAAGATTTACTGAGGAAGCTGTGCAATCTAGACACGCAATGTTTTATCTACCTTTCGGCGATGGTCCGAGGAATTGCATTGGTATGTTAAAATGTTTTCTTTAGTATATGTATATGTCTAAATTATGTTCGCATAATATTGGGAATATTTTTTAACCGGACAATTAGACATATTTTATGCAATAATCTTTTTAGGTGCTCGCTTTGGTGTTCATCAGACTAAAATTGGACTCATAAAAATGTTACGAAATTACAAAGTTGAAACTTGTGAGAAAACACGAAT